GTGTGGCGAGGCATATACACAGCTGGCATGGTCTGGAACTAACATGCAGCACTGACACATTGTCATACTGCACTAACTAACCCATTATGCTGACTGCACCTATTCGATACACACAGACACACACCAACCCTACTCACACACTCTTCCCAGGCACGTGAACCACTTTCTGACCAGTAACTATTCTGACCAGTAACCATTCTGACCAGTACCCATTCTGACCAGTAACCAAGACAGACAGTTGTGCCACATAGATTGCAAAATAGTTAGGAAGAGATTTTCGATGTACCGATTTCATGACACATGGTTTGAACTTATACACAAAATGATGCCGGATCAAAACGTATATACAAAATTCTTGCAACCAATAGAATGATATATACACATACATATATATATATATATATATATATATATATATATATATATATATATATATATATATATATATATATATATATATATATAGCGGATAAAACCATCCCAGCTCTGCAGATTTTGCTGTGAAGAGACAGAATCATTAGATCACTTGTTTTGGCCCTGCCCATATGTAGCTCGTTTTTGGTCGTAGGTTCAGGAATGGATGAAACATTTCAACATTTACTTGGAGCTAACTCTGCAAATAGCGCTGCTGGGTGATTTGAAAACTCATAGTCAATCGATCAATAATATAATAATACTCTTAGCAAAGGTGTTTATCTTTCATTTACAATCTGTAGAATCTATGAAAATAGAAAGGTTCAGAACTTTGCGAAACATCACAGCACAGTGGAAAAATATATGGCAGCTAGAAATCAAAACTGGATGGTCTTCAGAGATAGATGGGAGGGGTTGAGGGTAGCTGAAGGATGGGACTAAAAACAAACAAAAGATAACTATCCGTAAAATGTATATAGTATGTATAAGCTGTAAGTAGAAGCCTAAGTATTGTTGTCCATTAGTTTACTCCAATTAGGGGAGGGGTGGTAGGGTTAGGGGAAAATAATAAAGAAGGATAAATTATATTGAAAATAATATATATATTTACAAAAAAATATATATGGGGGATTGGAAATGATGCAGATAATTACATTGATAGAAGCAACAATCTGCAATATTAAAGATGACCCCCCCCAAAAAAAGACAGACAGAGTTCCCGTTGACTCTAGAAGTCTCTCTGAGGGATGGCTCATTCATTAGATATTACACAGACACACAGCTTCATTAGTTAGTACACAGACACACAGCTTCACTAGACAGCACACAGACACACAGCTTCATTAGATAGCACCGACACAGCTTCATTAGATAGCACACAGACACAGCTTCATTAGATAGCACACAGACACACTTGCTTCATTAGATAGCACACAGACACACTTGCTTCATTAATGAAGGTAATTTCTCATTAGACCTGGGCTGCACAACGCTGGACGTCTGCCAAGAAGACCAGTGGAGGATGGAGGTAGACAAGGAGGGAAGGGGGAAGGTTTGTGAAGGATTGCAGCTGCTCTACCCCTCTCCCTTTCACTTTATTTCTTGCTCTCTTTGTTCGTTTGCTGTTTGGGGAGAGTTTTCAGACAGGGGTGTGTGAGTACAATACTGTATGTGGGGGTCTGGATCTTAACCTAGTGGGTCAGTTGGGGGTGGTCGAGTGAGGTTTGCGATGATGGCGGGCAACGGGTACTGGCATGTTGCATCTGTCTGCTGATGCCAAGGTGAGGCGGGGACAGGCGCCATTTTGAGTACGAAGCCTCCCTCTCTCCATTTTGAAGACTGGGGGAAGAGGGGGAATTTCACTCATTCTCTCGTGCACACGCACACAAAATACATCACACACAATCACACATACATATAGTGATGGAACCATATGTTGTTTGGGGTCTCAGAATTAGGAGATATTTACCTTGTAAACTTGGAGGAAAATAAATGTTTAGGCCTATGGGTTAAGATGACTAACACTTGGCTTACATCCTATATCTTTTCAGCTAACATCGCTGTGAAACACAACCCCAGTGTAGTAGCACGGTTCACCACTGCTCTCATTAGAAAGTGTGATAAAATGTGGGTGCTGAGGGATTAGTACCTGTTACCTCTGTCCCTCCGTAGCCGCTAACACGCTAGCCACTCCTGTTCTGTCAAACCCATTAGCATCTCCTCTTAGCCTCACAGAGCCGATGTCTGCAGCTCCTCTACAGATCGATCAGGGGGCTGGCCTCTCAGTAACTGTGGGCCCTTCATTGGCTCCTTCATTTCACTGTGGGTTACATGCACTCTCAGGACTTCTGGTAATTTAGTGTAAATGCAATTCAGTCGTGCAACACAAGGCAGCGATATCGATTACTACAGGCTAATCAAGAACAGGCTAATGACTTTTTCAATTAAAAAGCTGCAGCTAGATGGTATTTGGATTAGATCAGGTGTAGTGGAAAATTGTCTGGAAGGGAGTGTAGGGTCTGTGGAGCAGGATACAAGTAATGCAGTCAATAGTTCTATTAGAATTTTCATATAAACAACTTACCAGTTACATGAAGTTGAAAAATCAAACTTTTTCTAACATGTTTAAGAGTATAAAAATATATAAAAATCTTATAAAGTATGCAAAAACGATAAAGGTCTCATTTAACGACATTACAGTTGTAAAAGGAGGATAAATTAAAAAGGAAATGACTATGTACAACTTTCATCTTTATTTCTTTAAAATAACATAATATCAAAAGGCAAATTCTGTTATTATTAATACCAGTACAAAAATGTATCTGACAATGAATATACAGGACAGAGCATGACGACGATGACGTTTGGAAGTTGAGGATTATAGTTTGAAACAGAAACAAATACAACTTTTAAAACACCACATATTACTTTTACTGGGTGATATCCAAGAAACGGCGGAAGAGAACAAGAGAATAGTGGGAGAAAAAGAGAGAATGAAGAGTTTTAAAGGAGGACTTCAGCTTCAGGGTGCACAACATGATATAAAGAGACTTGATAACAATTTAATGTTTTCTGCTGTGGTGATTGGCACCAGCTAGCACGTCAGTACTAGGACCAGGAGTTTTCCCAGACCATTTGGCCTGACCAGGAAAACCTCAGGTCCCTACTTATAGTCTATGGTGTATTTCATGATCAGGTCACATGGTTTGGAAAAACTCAGGGCCTTAATTATCACGGTTGTCCTTCCAGTTTAAAACCATGTGCTAGCGGACAGTCTCCAATAAATAAGAACGCAATAGTGTTGTCCAAGGCACAGAGACATGGCACATAACTAGGACCAGGAGTTTTTCCCTAAACACTTGACTTGGGCAGTATAAACTGACTAAGTGCTCTCGGCTCAGGACAACTACAGTGTGTGGATGGGTGGTACACTTCCTATCTTTCTAATGTGCATAAATACTATTTATTTTAAATCACTCTTTAAACATATCTGTATATAAAAAAACACCCCAAAATGACATGTATTATTTGGAATGAAAAAGGCACTGAGGGCATGTGGAATCTATATTTCTGACAGTTTTACCTGTACAACGACGCAGCCATGTAAAAACAATATATATATTACCACCATAGGACGACTGGGATGTGTATCGCTGTACTGTCATCAGCCCAAAGCATAAAGCACTGGCTCCTCAATGATCAGAGAAACAACAGGAGAGTTCCCCTCACTCTGCATCATACACATGTGTAGGACCAGGAGTTATCTTAGTAGGAAAAACTCACGGTCCTAGTTACAGCCTATAACTACGACTCAGAGAAGACGCTAGTTACAGTCTATTACAACGACTCAGAGAAGATTCTAGTTACAGCCTATAATGACGACTCAGAGAAGACCCTAGTTACAGCCTATAATGACGACTCAGAAAATACCCTAGTTACAGCCTATAACTACAACTCAGAAGACCCTAGTTACAGTCTATAACTACAACTCAGAGAAGGTCCTTGTTACAGGCTGTTACAAGGGCTCAACGTTTTTTCTGGTCAGTTATGAGGAAAAACTCCTGGCCCTACAGACGTGTCGACGATGTCCACTAGACTCAAAACCTCCAGTCCACCCCCAACATTATGTAACCCTGACCATTCAAACAGCATTATCAACTTCCATCACAATAAACACTCCCCATTCACCACTATCAACTGACCCCTCTCAGATATAATCAAACAGAACTCTGACAAATTAATCAACTGCCATAGAATTAATAGATTCTATTTATATGTGTCATACTTCTAAATACTTAGCTGAGTATCTGTCCTGTGCCTGTGCTGCTGTAGCTATGGGTCCAGTACCACAGTTCTGGGGCCGAGTGTATGAAGCGTTCAAGAGTAGGAGTGCTGATCTAGGCTCAGGTACCCTCTGTCCATGTAATCTATTATCTAAAAGGCAAAACTGATCCCAAATCAGCACTCCTACTCTGAATACAGGCCCTCAAGGCTAAGCTACTCCCTATCAAAGGGAACAGAAATAAACGTTGTAGAACCTTAAGATAGTAGGTCAAATGAACGATGGATGCATTACAGGGGATATATTAAAATGGATGAGAAATCAATATTTTACCCTAACAAAAGTTTGAGGGCACTTCTGACACAGCTTGTATGTAATGGGCCTGATATCACAGTGCTATTTTGTTAACCAACCCGACAGATGAGGGATGACAGAATAACTGAAAACACACAGATTAAGGCAGAGGTTGCAGTACATTAATAGTGTTTACTTAGCCTGGTTAAACCTGAATGAATGCTAGTGAGAGCTAGCATTTACCCCATTTCACTCTCTGTATGTAATGTAGACATTGGTCAGAGAGTGCAGGTTATCATTGAGGGGTAATGCATTTGCATCAACAGTCCATTCCAAGTGTCTGTATTTGGCCACTTGGGGGTGCTAAGACCATGATCCTCAGTCCCCCAGATTGTGTCTTCTCCTTTCTTTGGAAGGGTTTGGCATTGAGATGGATGGAAGGAGAGAGGGATGGAAGGATAGAAGGTTTTCGGAGGGAAGTGAGGGCTCATGGGACACAGTGGGCGGGGCTCTACATCTCGTGGGAGGTCATGTGGTGTTGGGGGAGGCCGTTGGCATGTGCGACGGCGGTGTTGTTTTCGTTGAGGCGGCGGACGCGGTACACCTCGTAGTGGATGCTGCTGGTGATATCCTTGATGTTCTGCATGTGGGTCCTGACAGGGGAGAGATGGGGATAGTTAGACATCAGCTGAAGTCAATAGAGAGATAGTTAGACATCAGCTGAAGTCAATAGAGAGATAGTTAGACATCAGCTGAGGTCAATAGAGAGACAGTTAGACATCAGCTGAAGTCAATAGAGAGATAGCTAGACATCAGCTGAAGTCAATAGAGAGATAGTTAGACATCAGCTGAGGTCAATAGAGAGATAGTTAGACATCAGCTGAGGTCAATAGAGAGATAGTTAGACATCAGCTGAAGTCAATAGAGAGATAGTTAGACATCAGCTGAGGTCAATAGAGAGATAGTTACACATAAGCTGAGGTCAATAGAGAGATAGTTAGACATCAGCTGAGGTCAATAGAGAGATAGTTAGACATCAGATGAGGTCAACAGAAGGGCACACACACACTGGTGTACAGACACACAAACACAGACAGACAAAGACATATTGTTCAGAAACTCATACTCACACATGCGCAACACATGCACACACACACGTATGTAGATATTTACCTAATCAGTAGATCCCGCAAATAGGCAAACTCACAATGAGCAATGTTCTCAACTGCAGAGAGGAGAGAGAAGACATGATAAGCTCCTCACCAAGTCACATCAGACACCAACACACACTGATGCAGTTCTCCACTACCCCACTAGAGATAACTAGTTATAGAGAACAGCCCAAGCCAATGGCATGTACCAGATGCTCAGCAGGCTCTGCTCACAATTACTGGCCTGAGGCCAAACCACACGACCAACAACATTAGACACTTTATGGAACACAAAGCCTTCACTATTTCATCCTGGAATATCCAAGGCATGAGGCCATCTGCCTTTGGCCTAAAGAGCAGAAACCTGGACTTCACCTAAGAAAATACAGACATTGTCATCCTACAAGAAACATGGTATAGAGGAGACGGACCCACTGGTTGCCCTCTAGGTTACAGAGAGCTGGTAGTCCCATCCACCAAACTACCAGGTGTGAAACAGGGAAGGGACTCAGGGGGTATGCTAATTTGGTATAGACCAGACCTAACTCACTCTATTAAATTAATCAAAACAGGAACATTTTACATTTGGCTAGAAATTCAAAAGGAAATTATCTCAACTGAGAAAAATGTCCTCCTGTGTGCTACCTATATCCCCCCACTAGTATCCCCATACATTAATGAAGACAGCTTCTCCATCCTGGAGGGGGAAATCAATCATTTCCAGACTAGTCTGTGGCGACCTAAATGTCAGAACTGGACAGGAACCTGACACCCTCAGCACACAGGGGGACAAACACCTACCTGGAGGTGACAGCATTCCCTCCCCAATATGCCCCCCTAGGCACAACTACGACAACATAACCAACAAAAACGGGTCACAACTCCTGCAGCTCTGTCGCACGCTGGGTATGTACATAGTCAATGGTAGGCTTCAAGGAGACTCCTATGGTAGGTACACCTATAGCTCATCTCTTGGCAGTAGTACTGTAGACTACTTTATCACTGACCTCAACCCAGAGTCTCTCAGAGCATTCACAGGCAGCCCACTGACACCCCTATCAGACCACAGCAAAATCACAGTCTACTTGAACAGAGCAATACTCAATCATGAGGCATCAAAGCCAAAGGAACTGAATAATATTAAGAAATGCTATAGATGGAAGGAAAGTAGTGTCGAAACCTACCAAAAAACAATTAGGCAACAACAAATTCAATCCCTTTTAGACAACTTCCTGGACAAAACGTTCCACTGTAATAGTGAAGGTGTAAACTTGGCAGTAGAAAACCTAAACAGTATATTTGACCTATATTAGACCCAGAAAACCTGAGCCTACGCCTTCACTATGGTGAATCACTAAAACAATACAGAAATACACCACGGAAAAAAAGGAACAGCATGTCAGAAATCAGCTCAATGTAATTGAAGAATCCATAGACTCTAACCACTTCTGGGAAAATTGGAAAACACTAAACAAACAACAACACGAAGAGCTATCTATCCAAAACGAAGATGTATGGGTAAACCACGTCTCCATTCTTTTTGGCCCTATAACAGAGAACAAACAGCAAAAAAATATACATGATCAAATGCAAATCTTAGAATCAACTATTAAAGACTACCAGAACCCACTGGATTCTCCAATTACATTGAATGAACAGGACAAAATACAAACCCTCCAACCCAAAAAGGCTTGTGGTGTTGATGGTATCCTCAATGAAATGATAAAATATACAGACCACAAATTCCAATTGGCTATACTTAAACTCTTTAACATCATCCTTAGCTCTGGCATCTTCACCAATATTTGGAATCAAGGACTGATCACCCCAATCCACAAAAGTGGAGACAAATTTGACCCCAATAACAACTGTGGGATATGCGTCAACAGCAGCCTTGGGAAAATCCTCTGCATTATCATTAACAGCAGACTACTTCATTTCCTCAGTGAAAACAATGTACTGAGCAAATGTCAAATTGGCTTTTTACCAAATTACCGTACGACAGACCACGTATTCACCCTGCACACCATAATTGACAAACAAACAAAGGCAAAGTCTTCTCATGCTTTGTTGATTTCAAAAAAGCTTTTGACTCAATTTGACATGAGGGTCTGCTATACAAATTGATGGAAAGTTGGGTTGGGGGAAAAACATTATAAAATCCATGTACACAAACAACAAGTGTACCGTTAAAATTGGCAAAAAACACACCGATTTCTTTCCACAGGGCCGTGGGGTGAGACAGGGATGCAGTTTAAACCCCACCCTCTTCAACATATATACAGTGGGGGAAAAAAGTATTTAGTCAGCCACCAATTGTGCATGTTCTCCCACTTAAAAAGATGAGAGAGGCCTGTAATTTTCATCATAGGTACACGTCAACTATGACAGACAAATTGAGATTTTTTTTCTCCAGAAAATCACATTGTAGGATTTTTAATGAATTTATTTGCAAATTATGGTGGAAAATAAGTATTTGGCCACCTACAAACAAGCAAGATATCTGGCTCTCACAGACCTGTAACTTCTTCTTTAAGAGGCTCCTCTGTCCTCCACTCGTTACCTGTATTAATGGCACCTGTTTGAACTTGTTATCAGTATAAAAGACACCTGTCCACAACCTCAAACAGTCACACTCCAAACTCCACTATGGCCAAGACCAAAGAGCTGTCAAAGGCCACCAGAAACAAAATTGTAGACCTGCACCAGGCTGGGAAGACTGAATCTGCAATAGGTAAGCAGCTTGGTTTGAAGCAATCAACTGTGGGAGCAATTATTAGGAAATGGAAGACATACAAGACCACTAATAATCTCCCTCGATCTGGGGCTCCACGCAAGATCTCACCCTGTGGGGTCAAAATGATCACAAGAACGAAATCCCAGAACCACACGGGGGGACCTAGTGAATGACCTGCAGAGAGCTGGGACCAAAGTAACAAAGCCTACCATCAGTAACACACTACGCCGCCAGGGACTCAAATCCTGCAGTGCCAGACGTGTCCCCCTGCTTAAGCCAGTACATGTCCAGGCCCATCTGAAGTTTGCTAGAGTGCATTTAGATGATCCAGAAGAGGATTGGGAGAATGTCATATGGTCAGATGAAACCAAAATAGAACTTTTTGGTAAAAACTCAACTCGTCGTGTTTGGAGGACAAAGAATGCTGAGTTGCATCCAAAGAACACCATACCTACTGTGAAGCATGGGGGTGGAAACATCATGCTTTGGGGCTATTTTTCTGCAAAGGAACCAGGACGACTGATCCGTGTAAAGGAAAGAATGAATGGGGCCATGTATCGTGAGATTTTGAGTGAAAACCTCCTTCCATCAGCAAGGGCATTGAAGATGAAACGTGACTGGGTCTTTCAGCATGACAATGATCCCAAACACACCGCCCGGGCAATGAAGGAGTGGCTTCGTAAGAAGCATTTCAAGGTCCTGGAGTGGCCTAGCCAGTCTCCAGATCTCAACCCCATAGAAAATATTTGGAGGGAGTTGAAAGTCCGTGTTGCCCAGCGACAGCCCCAAAACATCACTGCTCTAGAGGAGATCTGCATGGAGGAATGGGCCAAAATACCAGCAACAGTGTGTGAAAACCTTGTGAAGACTTACAGAAAACGTTTGACCTGTGTCATTGCCAACAAAGGGTTTATAACAAAGTATTGAGAAACTTTTGTTATTGACCAAATACTTATTTTCCACCAAAATAATGGTGTTCCAAAAAAGGTCCAGTTGCCAGGACCACAAATACAAATTCCATCTAGACACTGTTGCGCTAGAGCACACAAAAAACTATACATACCTTGGCCTAAACATCAGCGCCACACGTAACTTCAACAAAGCTGTGAATGATCTGAGAGACAAGGCAAGAAGGGCCTTCTATGCCATCAAAAGGAACATAAAATTCAACATACCAATTAGGATCTGGATAAAAATACTTGAACCAGTTATAGAACCCATTGCCCTTTATGGTCGTGAGGTCTGGGGTCCGCTCACCAACCAAGAATTCACAAAATGGGACAAACACCAAATTGAGACTCTGCATGGAGAATTCTGCAAAAATATCCCCTGTGTACAACGAAAACGACCAAATAATGCATGCAGAGCAGAATTAGGCCGATACCCGCTAATTATAAAAATCCAGAAAAGAGCCGTTAAATTCTATAACCACTTAAAAGGAAGCGATTCCCAAACCTTCCATAACAAAGCCATCACCTACAGAGAGATGAACTTGGAGAAGAGTCCCCTAAGTAAGCTGGTCCTGGGGCTCTGTTCACAAACACAAACAGACCCCACAGAGCCAAAGGACAACAACAACAACACAATTAGACCTAACCAAATCATGAGAAAACAAAAAGAGAATTACTTGACACATTGGAAAGAATTAACAAAATAACAGCGCAAACTAGAATGCTATTTGGCCCTAAACAGAGAGTACACAGTGGCATAATACCTGACCACTGTGACTGACCAAAACTTAAGGAAAGCTTTGACTATGTACAGACTCAGTGAGCATAGCCTTGCTATTGAGAAAGGCCGCCGTAGGCAGACCTGTCTCTAAAGAGAAGACAGGCTATGTGCACACTGCCCACAAAATGAGGTGGAAACTGAGCTGCACTTCCTAACCTCCTGCCAAATGTATGACCATATTAGAGACACATATTTCCCTCAGATTACAGAGATCCACAAAGAATTCGAAAACAAACCCAATTTTGATAAAAAACCACAGTGTGCAATCACAGCAGCAAGATTTGTGACCTGTTGCCACAAGAAAAGGGCAACCAGTGAAGAACAAACACCATTGTAAGTACAACCCATATTTATGTTTTTTTTTTCTTCCCATTTGTACTTTAACTATTGGCACATTGTTACAACACTGTATAGAGACATAATATGACATTTGAAATGACTTTATTCTTGTGGAACTTCTGAGTGTAATGTTTACTGTTAATATTTATTGTTTATTTCACTTTTGTTTACTATCTACTTCACTTGCTTTGGCAATGTTAACATACGTTTCCCATGCCAATAAAGCCCTTCAAATTGAATTGAATTGAGAGAGAGAGCACTAGTTAAGGTTGACGGCTGAACAGATTCAGACGCTGCCCCGCCCGCCACAGGAGGATGTGTGTCTGAATTATAGATAGTATCACAGGTCTATAACCCAACATCAGAACCTGCCACTGCAGGAAATGAAGGTTTCCTTTAGGGAGGTTTTAATAGAAGTAGAGAAGTAGTCGCCTCTCTCAATCTGATTGTGATGTAATTAAATGCATGGTTGAAATCAGATCATTTGAAGTGTGTGATGATGACATTTTGAAATGGTTTGCATATAAATTTAGTACTGGTCGTTAAGCTGGAATTCAGATCTACTATTGAGAGAGGCAAGTGAAAAACTATGGTTCAATAAGTAGCTGTACATATGCCAATAAAAGCACCCAGACAACACGCATACTGAGTTTAAGGAGTAGGGGTATATCTAGTTGTTTACCCCTGGTTGAGACCGAGGCTAACTAGGTATCCAGGTGTGTGTGTGTGTGGAGCACAGTGGAATCCCTCTAAGACAACATGCCACCAATCCAATGAGTGGCACTTTCAGTGGGGACAGATAGATCTGTACTGTACCCTCCCCTCCACCCCTCTGTCACTATGTGGCCAAAGGCCCGTAAACACTGCAGCCTTTGTAGAGAGGGGTGTTACATGCTCTGCCTCCCTCTTCCACACAGACACATTGTAGAGCGGTAGTCTCAGCCAGCTGCATGGCACAGTCGTTGTGTCTCTCTGTCTGTCTGGGCTGGGGACAAGTGAAATCATCTGAAGGCCCTCTTTACTCCTCCCCCTCTACTCCTCCCCAGTGCCTAATTTGTAAATCGGGAGGTGCGGGAACAAAAAGTGAGCGTGAGGGGGGTGACCTGGGGAGCTCTGAGGTACCGGAACGCATGAGAAAATTACCTTTATTATAAAGCATTTCATGCATATCATCATATTGCATTTGTGTGTCGCTCTGGATAAGAGCGTCTGCTAAATGACTAAAATGTAATGTAAATGTAAAATGTAGTGGCATAGAGCAGTATAGTACAGGCACTTACAGAAGTTTCACACATGAGGAAAATGTTTAGTAGCCTAGGGTCTGGGAAAAATGTGGCCTTTTCTAAATGCATTTCATGCAATTCTACATGACTGGAGACTTTGGCAGAATATTTTTTAATAACGCACAAATGATCGAAATAACAGGCTACTTTGACACTGACAAACTGAGAATCTGATATCAATAAAAATGACCTTGTCTTGAATCCATCAATAGCCTAGGCCTAGGTGTGTGGAGACACATATATTGTAGGCTACAATATGAGGAGGAAATTATAGTCCTAAAAATTATTTCCAGTTTTACTGACTCACCCAATGATGCGCAGCTCACTCGCTGGTGATGGCAGATGTGCTGGTGCCAAAAGCCTACAGTGAGGGAAAAAAGTATTTGATCCCCTGCTGATTTTGTACGTTTGCCCACTGACAAAGACATGATCAGTCTATAATTTTAATGGTAGGTTTATTTGAACAGTGAGAGACAGAATAACAACAAAAAAATCCAGAAAAACGCATGTCAAAAATGTTTGCATTTTAATGAGGGAAATAAGTATTTGACCCCTCTGCAAAACATGACTTAGTACTTGGTGGCAAAACCCTTGTTGGTAATCACAGAGGTCAGACGTTTCTTGTAGTTGGCCACCATGTTTGCACACATCTCAGGAGGGATTTTGTCCCACTCCTCTTTGCAGATCTTCTCCAAGTCAGTAAGGTTTCGAGGCTGACGTTTGGCAACTCGAACCTTCAGCTCCCTCCACAGATTTTCTATGGGATTAAGGTCTGGAGACTGGCTAGGCCACTCCAGGACCTTAATGTGCTTTTTCTTGAGCCACTCCTTTGTTGCCTTGGCCGTGTGTTTTGGGTCATTATCATGCTGGAATACCCATCCACGACCCATTTTTAATGCCCTGGCTGAGGGAAGGAGGTTCTCACCCAAGATTTGACGGTACATGGCCCCGACCATCGTCCCTTTGATGTGGTGAAGTTGTCCTGTCCCCTTAGCAGAAAAACACCCCCAAAGCGTAATGTTTCCACCTCCATGTTTGACGGTGGGGATGGTGTTATTTGGGTCATAGGCAGCATTCCTCCTCCTCCAAACACGGCGAGTTGAGTTTATGCCAAAGAGCTTGATTTTGGTCTCATCTGACCACACACACAACACCATCACCCAGTTCTCCTCTGAATCATTCAGATGTTCATTGGCAAACTTCAGACGGGCCTGTATATGTGATTTCTTGAGCAGGGGGACCTTGCGGGCGCTGCAGGATTTCAGTCCTTCACGGCGGAGTGTGTTACCAATTGTTTTCTTGGTGACTATGGTCCCAGCTGCCTTGAGATCATTGACAAGATCCTCCCGTGTAGTTCTGGGCTGATTCCTCACCGTTCTCATGATCATTGCAACTCCACGAGGTGAGATCCTGCATGGAGCCCCAGGCCGAGGGAGATTGACAGTTATTTTGTGTTTCTTCCATTTGCGAATAATCGCACCAACTGTTGTCACCTTCTCACCAAGCTGCTTGGCGATGGTCTTGTAGCCCATTCCAGCCTTGTGTAGGTCTACAATCTTGTCCCTGACATCCTTGGAGAGCTCTTTGGTCTTGGCCATGGTGAAGAGTTTGGAATCTGATTGATTGATTGCTTCTGTGGACAGGTGTCTTTTATACAGGTAACAAACTGAGATTAGGAGCACTCCCTTTAAGAGTGTGCTCCTAATCTCAGCTCGTTACCTGTATAAAAGACACCTGGGAGCCAGAAATCTTTCTGATTGAGAGGGGGTCAAATAGTTATTTCCCTCATTAAAATGCAAATCAATTTATAAAATTTTTGACATAAGAGTTTCTGGATTTTTTTGTTGTTATTCTGTCTCTCACTGTTCAAATAAACCTACCATTAAAATTATAGACTGATCATTTCTTTGTCAGTGGGCAAACATACAAAATCAGCAGGGGATCAAATACTTTTTTCCCTCACTGTATCTCTCAAAGTAAAACAATATTTGGAAGTTGATTAAATATTTTGGTAGCCTACAGCAGACAGATTAGAGTCTTCTCTTTTTAGCAGGAGCCATTTACTTTCCAACCTGTTTTCCCGCGATTGTATTTGAAATATTGCGAAAGGCCTGTTTTGTCTGCATGCTGTTTGTTCACTGACAACTGTAGGCTATGCTTTGTTATTGGGCTACACACAATCCACAGCTAGGCTATTTTTTTAAAGAAGCAATTGATCCTCTGTGGCTAAATTTTAGGTGTAGTAGGCTATTCTGAACTATTTCCTCCAGAACCCGTCGTGCAGCTATGATTCTATAAGGAAATAAATGATGAAGTGTAAAGCTGGAGAGATGAGAGTTGCATGGAAAGTGAATCTCATTCTAGTTCTGTGAGAGATACTGGCGTGCTTTTCACACAGCTACGGCCAGGTGTTGGTCTCAAACATAGGTTACAATGTTGCACAAACCATAAGCCTGGGCCGGCCCAACCCGAATCAACTCTTAGAATATCAGGCCGGGACTGAACATCTATTCTTTAGAATTAACGAAGAGGGAACTCAAATGAACTTTGATCGCTTTTCTTAGAATATTTACATTGCAAAAAGTTTTAATAATTTTTCATGCCAAAAGAAGTACCGGATCCTGCCAAATAGGTTCCGGAACCAAACAGTCTAAAATGGAGAGGTGCCGCCCTGCTCCTCCCCCCTCTACTCCTCCCTCTCATCTCTTCTGTCTCGTTTAGTCTTAACTGGCCGGTGTACATTCATCAACAAAGAAAAACTAAAAAGAGAGAGACTCCTGCTCAAAGATACAAAGTGCTAAAGGAGGAATGAGATGGAGAAAGAGAAGGTGGAGCCATCTACCTTCTATGGTTCCCCACTTTGTCTTCCTTCCCAGAAGCCTCCTGCCGTTGACCTGGTACTCCTGGTCGCTGCCCACCACAGCAAACGGGATCATCTCCTACAGTACAGGACAGGAGGAACACAGAGACATACCATGAAGAGTTAAATAAACGGATATTTGATATATACTGCAGCAGAGGGACCTAACTGAAATATAACCAGGTTATCAACATGGATCAACAGGGACCTAACTTTAACATAACCAGGTTATCAACATGGATCAACAGGGACCTAACTGTAATAGAACCAGGTTATCAACATGGATCAACAGGGACCTAACTGTAATAGAACCAGGTTATCAACATGGATCAACAGGGACCTAACTTTAATTTAACCAGGTTATCGACATGGATCAACAGGGACCCAACTTTAATTTAACCAGGTTATCGACATGGATCAACAGGGACCCAACTTTAATTTAACCAGGTTATCAACACGCTACGTTGCACAGGTGAGTGGAGCTATAAGCGGTAATGTGAGGGCTTATGGCTAGGGGCAGGTGGGTAAAGCTGTGGACAGATGTGTCAACTCAAATCACCCTGATTTTCTCATTAATCATCCGGTCCTCTGCGTCCTCGTCAAACTCCTTCTGGGGGTACACGTCGATCCCATTGGCCCGTAGCTCTTCCCTGATCTGGGGACACAGAAACAGTTCTGGGTGAGAGGTGAGGGTGAGACTGCCCCGATACTGCTAACACAACATTCAGTAAAAATCCTATGCCTACAATAAAACACCTAGCTTGCTGGTCCCTGCTATAAAAAAGGTTGAGAAACACGACAAATGCATTATACACCCTTGCAGAGACTTGAATACATGAACTTAAGGTTATGGGAACACACGAGCAAAAGCAGAACAACCTCAATTAGCCAGATATGTCTGACAAATACTTTGGATACATAACAGTATTTTTGTGAGAAATCGAGACCATCTGCACACTGCGTTACCCACAGCTTTAGGTGGAGTTAACGTAAATCCCTTCACTAATCTCCTCCAAAATGTTCTGTTGAAACCAACAGCCCATCACTGTCAGTGTACACGTTTACAAACAGACAAGCACACACACACACACACACACACACACCAGTTCAACTTTTTATATCCGGTCTTATATCCGGTACAGAGCTTCCCTAATGAGAGGGACACTGGCGGGGATCCGTGAACATGGCTGCCAGTAATTGCCTTGAAATGAATACCTGCCTTTTTCATCTACTACTACTGCATCTACTACTACTACTACTACTACTACTACTACTACTGCATCTACTGCATCTACTACTACTACTACTGCACCTACTGCTATTACTGCATCTACTACTACTACTACTACTGCATCTACTGCTATTACTGCATCTACTACTACTACTACTACTACTACTACTACTACTACTACTACTACTAATACATCTACAGTCGTGGTCAAAAGTTTTGAGAATGACAAGTATTGGTCTTCACAAAGTTTGCTGCTTCAGTGTTTTTAGATATTTTTGTCAGATGTTACTATGGTATACTGAAGTATAATTACAAACATTCCATAAGCGTCAAAGGCTTTTATTGACAATTACATTACGTTTATGCAAAGAGTCAATATTTGCAGTGTTGACCCTTCTTTTTCAAGACTTCTGCAATCCGCCCTGGCATGCTATCAATTAACTTCTGGGCCACACCCTGACTGATGGTAGCCCATTCTTGCATAATCAATGCTTGGAGTTTGTTAGAATTTGTGGGTTTTTGTTTGTCCACCCGCCTCTTGAGGATTGACCACAAATTCTCAATGGGATTAAGGTCTGGGGAGTTTCCTGGCCATGGACCCAACATTTTGATGTTTTGTTCCCCGAGCCTCTTAGTTATCACTTTTGCCTTATGGCAAGGTGCTCCATCATGCTGGAAATGGCATTGTTCGTCACCAAACTGTTCTTGGATGGTTGGGAGAAGTTGCTCTCGGAGGATGTGTTGGTACCATTCTTTATTCATGGCTCTGTTCTTAGGCAAAATTGTGAGTGAGCCCACTCCCTTGGCTGAGAAGCAACCCCACACATTAATGTTCTCAGGATGCTTTACTGTTGGCATGACACAGGACTGATGGTAGCGCTCACCTTGTCTTCTCCGGACAAGCTTTTTTCAGAATGCCGAAACAATCGGAAAGGGGATTCATCAGAGAAAATGACTTTACCCCAGTCCTCAGCAGTCCAATCCCTGTACCTTTTGCACAATATCAGTCTGTCCCTGATGTTTTTCCTGGAGAAAAGTGGCTTCCTCGCTGCCCTTCTTGACACCAGGCCATCCTTCAAAAGTCTTCGCATCACTGTGCGTGCAGATGCACTCACACCTGCCTGCTGCCATTCCTGAGCAAGCTCTGCACTGGTGGTGCCCCGATCCCGCAGCTGAATCAACTTTAGGAGACGGTCCTGGCGCTTGCTGAACTTTCTTGGGCGCCCTGAAGCCTTCTTCACAATAATTTAACCTCTCTCCTTGAAGTTCTTGATGATCCGATAAATGGTTGATTTAGGTGCAATCTTACTAGCAGCAATATCCTTGCCTGTGAAGCCCTTTTTGTGCAAAGCAATGATGACAGCACGTGTTTCCTTGCAGGTAACCATGGTTAACAGAGGAAGAACAATGATTTCAAGCACCACCCTCCTTTTAAAGCTTCCAGTCTGTTATTCTAACTCAATCCGCATGACAGAGTGATCTCCAGCCTTGTCCTCGTCAACACTCTCACCTGTGTTAACGAGAGAATCACTGACATGATGTCAGTGGGTCCTTTTGTGGCAGGGCTGAAATGCAGTGGAAATGTTTTTTGGGGATTAAGTTAATTTTCATGGCAAAGAGGGACTTTGCAATTAATTGCAATTCATCTGATCACTCTTCATAACATTCTGGAGTATATGCAAATTGCCAACATAAAAGGTCTGAGGCAGCAGACTTTGTGAAAATTAATATTTGTGTAATTCTCAAAACTTTTGGCCACGACTGTACATCTACTACTACTACATCTACTACTACTACTACTACTGCATCTACATCTACTACTACTACTGCATCTACATCTACATACTACTGCTACTATTGCTATTGCTACTACTACTGCTGCTACTTCTGCTACTTTCCCTCTCTTTCGGGCTCTTGGGGTCTGTGATCAAATTACTTTTTAATGTTCCAGATCCCCACCACATAAGCGGAAGTGATGTAATGGAGTCCACTGTGGCCACATCAGCAGTCAGGGGAGAAAGGGAAGGAGACGGGAGAAGTTGGACAGAACTCACAGAACTCTCCTCTAGCCAATCCAAAATTTGGGAAGGGAGGGAGAGAGAAAAAGAGAGAGTGAGATGGAGAGGGAGAAAAAGGAGGGAGGGAGAGAGAGGTTGGACTCCCACTGAACTCCTCTCTAGCCAATCCAGAGCCTGGCTTTATAAGTCCTGACCTCACAAGTACTCTATACACACAAAGCATCCTCAGTGTTCTCTCATTGGCCAGTGACCGAACGGGCAGCAGTGGCCAAACAATTTAAGAAACATTTCCTGTTGCTGCGGAGAACACAAAATATGTGAGAGAGAGAGCGCGAGAGACCGCATGCAACAGAAAGAGAGGAATTGGAGACAGATAAAGATGGAAGTAGAGAGGAATAGAGCGAAAGAAAGAGAGAGAGCTCACCTTCTTTTTGAAGAAGTCCCTCTCCTCCAGGGTGAGTGTGTCTGCCTTGGCGATGACAGGAACAATATTGACCACCTTACTGAGACGCCTCATAAACTCCACATCCAGAGGCCGCAGACTGAGAGCGAGATGGGGGGGAGGGGTGAGAGAGGGGCCTCAGTTCACCTGTATTTATAGCAGACCTGGGTTCAAAAACTATTCGAAATGTCTCAAATACTTTGAGTATATGCTTTAGCCTGCCTGGAGCGCCAGGTGGGCAGGGTTTTCACTTTTGGGACTTTTCTGTTGGTGGTTCCATTGCAACAGGCAAGCTCAATCAAGCCTGGCTAATGTATTAGAAATTATTTCAAATAGTATTAGAACCCAGGTCTGCTTTATAGTTGTTGTTCAACAGTCCTTATTTGGGTCGACAGTGTGATACATCCTAGAACCACCAGAGGGCGGTATCCTCCAAGACAAATACCCACAGCACAGCTGTCTGAGGGCAACCCAAGCACAGACATACAGTACAGTAGCGTCACATACATACTCTATGGACTAGCTAAACCTACTGTAAATCTGAGACCCACATCAGTCAGTGCATGTCTGTAACTGTCAATTAAACCACACTGAGCCTTGAACGGAGCTGAGCCTTGACCGCCATAGAGCTGTTGGTTGGAGAAACCCATTCTTCTATAAGTGTGAAACTCATCCGTCTGTGGTTTGTGCAGCTGACGCTGGCTCAGATCACTGCATTATAAACTGCCCATTGTCGACAAAGACCTTTGGGTCAGACAGACAAGCATGTGCACACACACACACACTGACACGCATATGCACACAAGCATGCACACACAGACACACTCTGTTCTCTTATCGCTCCCACTAGAGTATTAAACAGACTTGGACAGTTGTTGGGCAGGACATGTGACAGACATCTGCAACGCTGGAAGAACATGAAACAATGCTCAAGCTATATCAGAGGGGGGGCACAATATGTCATGGCTATCGCTCTTGTAAATCGCTCTTGTAAAACCACAGACATGAGGGCAAAGCCTGCAGTCCACCACAGGACAGGACCACAGGCCATAGCAACAATGGGTAGAACCATTATGGGGTACATGCAAAGGAGGAGCAGACATGACACAGGAGGGAAATTCAATTAAAGGGTAATAGCTGTATACTGTACCAACAGGTGGGCTATGATGACTCATTTTGTGTGTGTGTGTGTGTGTGTGTGTGTGTGTAGATCACCATGGCAATGTGGAAATGCAAAACATGGTCTCAAAAGCTAAACAGAATCAAGCTGTTGATTGTCAATCAGCTGTGGTCTAAGGCTCTGCATCGCAGTGCTAGCTGTGCCACTAGAGATCCTGGTTCGAATCCAGGCTCTGTCGCAGCCGGCCGCGACCGGGAGACCCACGGGGCAGCGCATAATTGGCCCAGCGTCGTCCAGGGTAGGGGAGGGAATGGCCGGCAGGGATGTAGCTCAGCTGGTAGAGCATGGCGTTTGCAACGCCAGGGTTGTGGGTTCGATTATAAAAAAGTATAAAAAATTATGTAATGTAACTGTAAGTCGCTCTGGATAAGAGCGTCTGCTAAATGACTAAAATGTAATGTAAAATGTGCTGAGAGCGAGAGCGGGATGCCAACACACACACTGGAAATCCTCAAATATACATTTCCCTCCTTCTAGGCTACAATAGTTCAGGTAAATGTGTAACAACAACTACTACTATAGTTGAGGTAAATGTGTAACTACTACTACTATTGCTAGTAAATTCAATTTGCTGACACCAGCATAGTCAGATACAATGGCTTCTCCTGAATTTACTATCGGTACGCCCCAGACTGTTAAGGTTCCCAGGAGTGTTGGGTTAAACCAATACACCACGGATGGGGGGGCTAGCTCTATACGAAGCTCAATCAGGCCCAGATGTGTGAGCAGCAGTAACACCAGAGACAGAAACTTGGAGCAGGGAGGCAAACACATGCGTTTGTTTCAAGGCCTAGCGAAAGAGAAAGAGAAATACATTTTTTCCAGTCATGGAAAACGGGTGTTATGGGACGTGTTGCAACTCGCTGCCTGTAAAACAGGAAATGGAGGGGGGTCTGGAAGAGTAAGTGTTTCCACATCTGTCTGTCCCTCTCAGCTGCTGGAGCAGAGGAGGATCCACTACAGGTCAAGTCAGAGCGGTGGTGAGGGGTAGCAGAACATGAACTGTACATTTAGGGCAGGTTTCTCAGACATAGACAGTCCTAGTCCTGGACTAAAAAGCGTACTCAATGGAGAATCTCCATTCTGGCTGAGAATCTGGCCCATACATAGGCTGTATGTTACACAGAAGGGCACAGTATGACGTTCTACATTATATCTGATATTTGAATGGCACAGCACGGGGCTTTAGATTGTTGTTATAACTAACGTGTATTAGAAAGTCATGCCAAACTCACTGTGTTCTCCTGTTCTGTTCTGATGATTCTGGGCTATTTGAGTAGGACTCTCCCTATGACTCACTGCTTATCTAACATAAATCACTTCCTTCCCTCCCTCTCTCACTCTCTTTCTTTCTCACTCTCCCTCCTTTTACAAACTCCCAGTTACATACTCTCTACTGTTCAGTCAAGGACAACAGGGGGCAGCAGCACCGTTGCATTGACACTGTGCTTGTGTGTGTATGACAATTATTGTGATTGATTACATGCCATTTTTGATCACTCAAAAGGCATGACAGCTGCAGCATAGGACAATTTATTTTTGTTGAATATCCAAAGAATGAAGCTTAGCTAATAATCAGCTTGACTACCTCCCAGCCATATCTAAACATTCACCTGAAACATTCCACACATTCATACCCTTCACAAGGAATGTGTGAGTGTGTCTGTGCACGTCTACCTGTGTGTGTGTGTGTGTATGTGTGAGTCTGTGCATGTGCACGTCTTCCTGTGTGTGTGTGTGTGTGTGTGTGTGTGTGTGTGTGTGTGTACGCGTGGCAGCACTCACCAGTGTCCAGTAGGGGGTATGAAGTAGATGCAGCAGTGAACCCGTGAGTCTGGAATCCTCTTCTTCCTGTTGATGTTGATCTCCTCCTGAAGGTACTGCTCATACTGGGCATTAATGAACTTCATGATGGGCTGCCAACTGTGGAGGGAGGAATGGGGTTGGGGGGGGGGGGAGAGAAGACAGGAAGTGGAAGGAAGGGGAGAGGCAGATTAAAAGTTTTGGGGGATGGATAGAGCGAGACAAGTGAGAAAGACAGGAAGAGGGAGTTAGCAGGGGGGAGAGAAAGAGGATAGATTAGGTCATATACAGTACTGTGTACACTAGTCATCTAGATGAGATGGATTGGGTAACCATTTATATTAACTGTATATACAGTACCAGTCAAAAGTTTGGACACACCTACTCATTCCAGGGTTTTTCTTTATTTTTTTACTATTTTCTACAATGTAGAATAATAGTGAAGACATCAAAACTATGAAATAACACATATGGAATCATGTAGTAACCAAAAAAGTGTTAAACAAATTCTCTCAACCAGCTTCATGAGGAAGTCACCTGGAATGCATTTCAATTAACAGGTGTGCCCTGTTAAAAGTTAATTTGTGGAATTTCTTTCCTTCCTAGTGCGTTTGAGTCAATCAGTTGTCTTGTGACAAGGTAGGGGTGGTATACAGAAGATAGCCCTATTTGGTAAAAGACCAAGTCCATATTACGGCAAGAACAGCTCAAATAAGCAAAGAGAAATGACAGTCTATCATTACTTTAAGACATGAAGGTCAGTCAATACAGAACATTTCAAGAACTTTGAAAGTTTCTTCAAGTGCAATCGCAAAAACCATCAAGCGCTATGATGAAACTAGCTCTCATGAGGACCGCCACAGGAATGGAAGACCCAGAGTTACCTCTGCTGCAGAGGATAAGTTCATTAGAGTTACCAGCCTCAGAAATTGCAGCCCAAATAAATGCTTCACAGAGTTCAAGTAACAGACACATCTCAACATCAACTGTTCAGAGGAGACTGCGTGAATCAGGCCTTCATGGTCAAATTGCTGCAAAGAAACCACAACTAAAGGACACCAATAAGAAGAAGAGACCTGCTTGGGCCAAGAAACACAAGCAATGGACATTAGACTTGTGGAAATCTGTCCTTTGGTCTGATGAATCCAAATGTCAGATTTTTGGTTCCAACTGCCGTGTCTTTGTGAGACGCAGAGTAGGTGAACGGATGATCTCCGCATGTGTGGTTCCCACCATGAAGCATGGAGGAGGAGGTGTGATGGTGTGGGGGTACTTTGCTATTGACACTGTCTGTGATTTATTTAGAATTCAAGGCACACTTAACCAGCATGGCTACCACAGCATTCTGCAGCGATACACCATCCCATCTGGTTTGCGCTTAGTGGGACTATCATTTGTTTTTCAACAGGACAATGACCCAACACACCTCCATGTTGTGTAAGGGCTATTTGACCAAGAAGGAGAGTGATGGAGTGCTGCATCAGATGGCCTGGCCTCTACAAATACCTGACCTCAACACAATTGAGATGGTTTGGGATGAGTTGGACCGCATAGTGAAGGAAAACAGCCAACAAGTGCTCAGCATATGTGGGAACTCCTTCAACACTGTTGGAAAAGCATTCCAGGTGAAGCTGGTTGAGAGAATGCCAAGAGTGTGCAAAGCTGTCATCAAGGCAAAGGGTGGCTATTTGAAGAATCTCAAATATATATTGATTCGTTTAACACTTTTTTGGTTATTACATGATTCCACATGTGTTATTTCATAGTTTTGACGTCTTCACTATTATTCTACAATGTAGAAAATTGTAAAAATAAAGAAAAACCCTTGAATGAGTGGGTGTGTCCAAACGTTTGACTGGAACTGTGTATATGTATGTATGTATATATATATATATATATATATATAAAAGAGAGAGAGAGAGAGGAAGAGAGAGAGAGAGAGAGAAGTAGAGTGAGAGAAGCGAGAGAGAGGAGACGAGAGAGAGAGGAGAGAGGGAGGAGAGAGAGAGAGAGGAAGAGGGAGAGGAGAGAGAGAGAACGAGAGAGAGGAGAGAGAGGAAGGAGAGAGAGAGAGAGAGAGAGAGAGAGAGGAGAGAGAGAGAGAGAGAGAGAGAGAGAGAGAGAGAGAGAGATCTATGCATACATACATAGAAATATAAGCACATTATAAATATAACATTTCAGCTATGGATTGTATGGTTACTGTACCAGTTCTCATTGTTGATCTGATCCCCGAAGCCGGGCGTGTCGATAACAGTTAGTTTCATCCTCACCCCCTTCTCCTCAATGTCTGAACAGAGACAGAAACAGACAGACAGAGACACACACAGAGACGGTTAGATTGAATACAAGCACCTCTGAGAGGCCAAATGTACCTCAGACTGCAAACACAACACAAGGTAGACTGAGTAGAGGGTGAGATTGATAAAGTGAAAGATGTAGCTAGAGCGGTGCAGAAAATAAAAATAAACAGTAGGAGAGATGCTTCCTCCTTTCTTCTTCCTCTCACCGTGGCTGACAGACTTGATCTCGATAGTCTTGGGGATCTTCTCCTGGGACGTGGCCTGCACTGACTTACGGCTCACCTTGGACTTGAACAGGGTGTTCATCAGAGTGGACTTCCCTAGGCCGCTCTGCCCTACACACACACACACACACACACACACACACACACACACACACACACACACACACACACACAACTGAATATCAGACACATTGGTCGTGAAAATAAATAGAATAAAGCCACAATTGACAGTTTAGTCATTTAGCAGACGCTCTGATCCAGAGTGACTTACAGTAGTGACTACATACATTTTAATACTTTTTTCGTACTGGTCCCCCGTGGGAATCGAACCCACAACACTGGAGCTGCAAGCGCCATGCTCTACCAACTGAGCTACACACAACACGATAGAAACTCTACAATGAAGGTAAAACAGTGGCTTGATTTGAACCAATACCCTCTCATCTAGTCTGACTGTAGGGAATAGACTACTCTGACAATGGTGGACTTCCTCTCACCTTTCTGCATAACATTCTTCAGACACTCTTCCCACTAACAGGTTCATTCCAGTGGTAATGAATGACTAGCATGGCCTTGTTATTTCACACCGAGACAAAGAGAATTTAACACCAGAGCTGTTCCAGCCTGTCACAGCCACTCAGGGGAGAAAGAGACACTATTTCACAAGATTTTGGCTGCAGTGGGAGAGAAGTTACAGGTGTCTGCAGTAAGGCCCCCACAAACACACGTTACGTCGGTTTTGTGTTCACCATTTTCTCTGTGGTTCTGAGATGAGTCACAAGTACAGAATAATGACTCAGTCTCTTGGCCAAGGCCCTCCCTCCCTCCCTCCCTCCCATTAAAGTTGAACTAAAGGAACTGCATGTCCTTTCAGGGCTCAGACCTGCAGTCTGGGGAAGCGCTCCGCTGTCAACTAAACCACACTGAGCCTTGAACGTTGGTTGGAGAAACCCATTCTTCTATAAGTGTGAAACTCATCCGTCTGTGGTTGGTGCAGCTGACGCTGGCTCAGATCACTGCATTATAAACTGCCCATTGTCGACAAAGATCTTTGGGTCACACACACACCAATAGTTTATGATGCACACACACACACACACACACACCTCCCCCTGTTCTATTATCTCTACCAATAGAGCAGGGTTCCCTAATTGTAATTTGTTATTTTTTTTGGGACATAAAAGACTGTAAAAACACCAGAAAATCAGCTCCAAGTGATTTGATTTTTGGAAATCTGTTCTAAATTATTCCCATGCATAATAGAGAGATGTATGTGATCGTATACAAATGTAAGCAAGGTTTGAAATGATAATGATTTAGTCTAATATTATATCTGTTTGGGCTTCACACACACACACACAGTTGCATAATAATGGAGGTTTATATGTTTAAACTTCATTTGGGATTTAAGGCTTCAAACAACTGATTAATGAATGGGCCCTCAGTGTCTTGACTTCCGACCGATAACATTATGGGAACTGGTACAGTATCGTCCCTTTACAACACATTTGTGTTTGCTTCAGACCTGAAGAATCAAAGCTTTCCAGAGAGCCTCTCCAGTGTTTCCACCATGTATAAGAATTAACCACTTACTGTACAGTCGTGGTCAAAAGTTTTGAGAATGACACAAATATAAATTTTCACAAAGTCTGCTGCCTCAGTTTTTATGATGGCAATTCGCATATACTCCAGAATATTATGAAGAGTGATCAGATGAATTGTAATTAATTGCAAAGTCCCTCTTTGCCATGAAAATTAACTTAATCCCAAAAAACATTTCCACTGCATTTCAGCCATGCCACAAAAGGACCAGCTGCCATCATGTCAGTGATTCTCTCGTTAACACAGGTGAGAGTGTTGACGAGGACAAGGCTGGATATCACTCTGTCATGCTGATTGAGTTAGAATAACAGACTGGAAGCTTTAAAAGGAGGGTGGTGCTTGAAATCATTGTTCTTCCTCTGTTAACCACGGTTACCTGCAAGGAAACGCGTGCCGTCATCATTGCTTTGCACAAAAAGGGCTTCACAGGCAAGGATATTGCTGCTAGTAAGATTGCACCTAATCAACCATTTATCGGATCATCAAGAACTTCAAGGAGAGAGGTTAAATTGTTGTGAAGAAGGCTTCAGGGCGCCCAAGAAAGTCCAGCAAGCGCCAGGACCGTCTCCTAAAGTTGATTCAGCTGCGGGATCGGGGCACCACCAGTGCAGAGCTTGCTCAGGAATGGCAGCAGGCAGGTGTGAGTGCATCTGCATGCACAGTGAGGCGAATACTTTTGGAGGATGGCCTAGTGTCAAGAAGGGCAGAAAGGAAGCCACTTCTGTCCAGGAAAAACATCAGGGACAGACTGATATTGTGCAGAAGGTGCAGGGATTGGACTGCTGAGGACTGGGGTTAAGTCATTTTCTCTGATGAATCCCCTTTCCGATTGTTTGGGGCATCCGGAAAAAAGCTTGTCCGGAGAAGACAAGGTGAGCGCTACCATCAGTCCTGTGTCATGCCAACAGTAAAGCATCCTGAGACCATTAATGTGTGGGGTTGCTTCTCAGCCAAGGGAGTGGGCTCACTCACAATTTTGCCTAAGAACACAGCCATGAATAAAGAATGGTACCAACACATCCTCCAAGAGCAACTTCCCCCAACCATCCAAGAACAGTTTGGTGACGAACAATGCCATTTCCAGCATGATGGAGCACCTTGCCATAAGGCAAAAGTGATAACTAAGTGGCTCGGGGAACAAAACATCGAAATTTTGGGTCCATGGCCAGGAAACTCCCCAGACCTTAATCCCATTGAGAACTTGTGGTCAATCCTCAAGAGGCGGGTGGACAAACAAAACCCCACAAATTCTGACAAACTCCAAGCAATGATTATGCAAGAATGGGCTGCCATCAGTCAGGATGTGGCCCAGAAGTTAATTGACAGCATGCCAGGGCAGATAGCAGAGGTCATGAAAAAGAAGGGTCAACACTGCAAATATTGACTCTTTGCATAAATTGTCAATAAAAACCTTTGACACTTATGGAATGATTGTAATTATCAGTATACCATAGTAACATCTGACAAAAATATCTAAAAACACTGAAGCAGAAAACTTTGTGAAGACCAATACTTGTGTCATTCTCAAACCTTTTGACCACGACTGTACTCCGATCAAAAACCATACCACAGAAACATTGCCATACAATACTTGGAATACATTTAGGATTTTAATCTGTATTGAAAACCAAAATTGCCAGTTCGGGGACCGATGTGATTGTTAAGAAGAGATACCAACCCTGTGCTCATGCTGTTGATGCCCCATACCAGCGGTACTGTATCACATTTTTAGGGGGCCTAGAATTCCCCTGAATGGTTGGTATGAATGGCTGAGCCTGAAGAGGAGAATCCTGTGAGCTATGGGACCTAGGTCAGGGCTCAGTGGGATGGGCTGTAGAAATGCTACAGTACTGATCCCCCTGGCTGAATGGCTGGACCCAAAGATCAGCCAGATTGTGGAGAGGAAGGATAGGGTATCAATACAACAATACAAGTGTATTAACCATTAGTAACCATTTAAGAGTAGGAGTGCTGATCTAGGATACATTTTGCCTTTTAGATTATAATGAATCAGATTGTTATAGACAGGGAGGACCTGATCCTAGATCAGCCCTTCTACTCTTAGATGCTTGATAAACACAGACCCAGGAGTCCTGGTTGTCCAGAGATCAGCCCTCTTCAGCAGAACTTCAAAGGTTGGTTTTTACTGTCCGCTGTACGCCTGGTATTTTACATCTTTAGCTCAGACTAACAGACAGATTAGCAGTGTGTGACTGAGGGTCGAGGCTGGTTATCATATAAGGAGTGTGGAGGTATGCCCAGCAGAATCAGCTTCCATAAACCAGGTAGCTAACATACGGGATGTAGGCTGCCATTACGTTCCCACTGTCCCAATTGAATAACATCTGGAGAAGTACCACAGATTAACGGGGTGACGGTTCAGATTACGATGGCGCTCTTCTCCCCCCTGGTGTGTGTGTGGGTGATCGCTTGACCCATGCTGCAGCTGTGTGTATGTGTGTGTGTGTTTGTATGTATTTATGTGTGTGTGTGTGTGTGTGTGTGTGTGTCCCCGTCTGCCCGGGTCTCATGTCTTTAGTGATGGCGTAGCCTACAGTCAGCCCTGAGCTGAATGGGTGGCAGGTTGCCAAGCGCTGTATCTGGGACACTAGGGCCAACCACAGGGGAATGTGAGAGGAATGTAGATTTGTCGGCACACTCCACACCACAGAGAGAGAGAACAGAGACACTAACCCTGGGCCCTGCCTCACCCCCCCCCCAATTGACTGATTTCCTTATATGAACTGCAACTCAGTAAAATCGTTGAAATTGTTGCATGTTGCGTTTATATTTTTGTTCAGTATACTTATTATATACCAGAGCAGTCTGTAGCATAGATAAATTCAAACATTAACCTAACGTCCTGTATTCTGTCTCCTTCCCTACAGCTCTGTTCTCACAGGCAGACTTAAATGACATTACACCTGAGTGCACTTATACACTGCAGGAGACTAAGTGGTAGTGTTGGATTTTATTTTCCATGGATGAGTCTGCATCCTCCCTCTCTGAAGTACCCCTATAGGCTGTAGTCTAAGTGAGCCGTTTTATCCACGGAAAGAACCCACAGAGCAGACTGACAGTCGCGACATCTTCAAATGGAGACGCGGTGTGGAGACAGCATGGAAAAGGGGTTTTATAGGCACTGGTCTCTGGTGAAGGAAGGTGTGTGCGTGTGTTATAAAAAGCTACTGTTTTAAAATGAGCCATCACACAATAATGAGGGAGTGTCAGCATGGTGGGAGAGTGTCAAAAGGCTGTGTGTGTGGGTGTTTGTGTGTGTGTGTGTGTGTGTGTGGGGGGGGTGAGTGTGTGTATGCGTGTGTGTGCGTATTGGCTCAGTACTGGAAATGAGAGTTGAGAGGCTGGTTCAGGGAAAATTAGAGCATTCTTGATTACAGAGATCCTCTGGTTTAATTAGAGATCTACAGTGAGGGAAAAAAGTATTTGATCCCCTGTTGATTTTGTATGTTTGCCCACTGACAAAGACATGATCATTCTATAACTTTAATGGTAGGTTTATTTGAACAGTGAGAGACAGAATAACAACAAAAAAATCCAGAAAAACGCATGTCAAAAATGTTATAAAATGATTTGCATTTTAATGAGGGAAATAAGTATTTGACCCCTCTGCTAAACATGACTTACTTGGTGGCAAAACCCTTGTTGGCAATCACAGAGGTCAGACGTTTCTTGTAGTTGGCCACCAGGTTTGCACACATCTCAGGAGGGATTTTGTCCCACTCCTCTTTGCAGATCTTCTCCAAGTCATTAAGGTTTCAAGGCTGACATTTGGCAACTCGAATCTTCAGCTCCCTCCACAGATTTTCTATGGGATTAAGGTCTGGAGACTGGCTAGGCCACTCCAGGACCTTAATGTGCTTCTTCTTGAGCCACTCCTTTGTTTCCAACTCCATGTTTGACGGTGGGGATGGTGTTCTTGGGGTCATAGGCAGCATTCCTCCTCCAAACACGGCGAGTTATGTTGATGCCAAAGAGCTCGATTTTGGTCTCATCTGACCACAACACTTTCAACCAGTTCTCCTCTGAATCATTCAGATGTTCATTGGCAAACTTCAGACGGGCCTGTATATGTGCTTTCTTGAGCAGGGGGACCTTGTGGGCGCTGCAGGATTTCAGTCCTTCACGGCGTAGTGTGTTACCAATTGTTTTCTTGGTGACTATGGTCCCAGCTGCCTTGAGATCATTGACAAGATCCTCCCGTGTAGTTCTGGGCTGATTCCTCACGGTTCTCATGATCATTGCAACTCCACGAGGTGAGATCCGATCCTGTAGGTTCATGCTCTACAACATTCGGAGAGTACGACCCTGTCTTACACAGGAAGCGGCACAGGTCCTAATCCAGGCATTTGTCATCTCCCGTCTGGATTACTGCAACTCGCTGTTGGCTGGGCTCCCTGCCTGTGCCTCCCTGCCTGCCGCCCCTACAACTCATCCAGAATGCCGCAGCCCGTCTGGTGTTCAACCTTCCCAAGTTCTCTCACGTCACCCCGCTCCTCCGCACACTCCACTGGCTTCCAGTTGAAGCTCGCATCTGCTACAAGACCATGGTGCTTGCCTACGGAGCTGTGAGGGGAACGGCACCTCCGTACCTTCAGGCTCTGATCAGTCCCTACACCCAAACGAGGGCATTGCGTTCATCCACCTCTGGCCTGCTGGCTCCCCTACCTCTGCGGAAGCACAGTTCCCGCTCAGCCCAGTCAAAACTGTTCGCTGCTCTGGCACCCCAATGGTGGAACAAGCTCCCTCACGACGCCAGGACAGCGGAGTCACTCACCACCTTCCGGAGACATTTGAAACCCCACCTCTTTAAGGAATACCTGGGATAGGATAAAGTAATCCTTCTACCCCCCCCTTACCCCACCCCCCCCCCCCAAAAAAAAAAAACACATTGTAAAGTGGTTATCCCACTGGCTATAAGGTGAATGCACCAATTTGTAAGTCGCTCTGGAGAAGAGCGTCTGCTAAATGACGTAAATGTAAATGTAAATGTGAGATCTTGCATGGAGCCCCAGGCCGAGGGAGATTGACAGTTATTTTGTGTTTCTTCCATTTGCGAATAATCGCACCAACTATTGTCACCTTCTCACCAAGCTGCTTGGCGATGGTCTTGTAGCCCAGTCCAGCCTTGTGTAGGTCTACAATCTTGTCCCTGACATCCTTGGAGAGCTCTTTGGTCTTGGCCATGGTGGAGAGTTTGGAATCTGATTGATTGATTGCTTCTGTGGACAGGTGTTTTTTATACAGGTAACAAGCTGAGATTAGGAGCAATCCTTTTAAGAGTGTCCTCCTAATCTCAGCTCGTTACCTGTATAAAAGACACCTGGGAGCCAGAAATCTTTCTGATTGAGAGGGGGTCAAATACTTATTTCCCTCATTAAAATGCAAATCAATTTATAACATTTTTGACATGCGTTTTTCTGGATTTTTTTGTTGTAAACCTATGACACAGTACACATGCATCCGTCTCTCACCATGTTAACTCACCCACTACCATGATGTTGTGTCTGTGTATGTTCATTGGGGTTTTAGGCTGGGTAGTTGTAAAGCATTTTGTGACAACAGCTGACGTAAAAAGGGCTTTATAAAATAAATGTGATTGATTGAATTTGTGTGCATGTGTTCTCTCCCTCCATGTTAACTCACCCACTACCATGATGTTGAGCTCGAAACCCTGTTTCATGGCTTTCCTCCGCATCTGTTCCAGGATGGCATCGATGCCCACATAGCTGAAGTCCCCCATGCCAGGACCTGGCACAGGCTTCTCCACCTGGCATGCTGCAGGCACCGCCAGGGGTGGCATCATCATCTCAGGCACGGCCACCTCAGACATGGCTCTACTGCTGTAGTTGGTAGTGACCTCTGACCCTGAGGAGAGAGGGAGAGATAAATAAATGTTGTCAGCACGAGTAGATAAACCATTTATTTCCTCTCGTGTGATCATGTATCGTTGAAACATACTGGACACAGATGAGCTTTCTACTGTGAAATAAAGAAAATAATTTAAAGTAGCGAGATAACAAAAACCTTATAGATTCAAGTAACCAACTTATACAGTTACACTATATTAAACATATACAGTGAGTAGAACATAAGAATAGCAGAACCATATTGCTGTGTCATCAGAAACAAGTGAAGGAGTTGGATAGATAGGTTTTCTACACAGCTGTGAGGAGCTAGCTACTAGCTAGACATAATAACCAAGCTAAACTGGGCTAGAGCCCACACACCAGCCTCTGAACAAATATCCATACATTAGGACCTAACGTGGGCCAAAGCCCTGCTAATACTAACAGACAGCTGAGCACATCAGGACAACTACCTGTGGTGTGTGTGTGTGTTGGAGCTGGGGAGACAGTGTAAAAGTGGACGAGGTGCAGACTAGCGGACCATAAACTAAGGAAATGTAAAGAAAGCCCCCCTCTATAACACTACCTGTTATGTATTACTGAACCGACCGTGTTTCAGCACCACCCGGAGCCTTCTGCAGTCACACACTTACTCAACAGTCATATTTTAAGTAAACAGTCCCTACAGAGGGTTAGATACACAGTGCATGTTTGTCTGACCACCGCAGGGCTCGTATACAAGCATATACACTTGTGTACATTCATACAAGAATATTCTGTATATTGTAAACACATTTTCCTGAGTTATAGCAGGATCTCCCTGTGGATTCTAACTCATTTTAACCATGTATGCTGGGTGGTGCCTGATCATCAGGCATATTGTTTAATATGGTCCTGCTGATGATGAGAGAGTGGAAAAGAGAGAAATCACTGGGGCTGAAACCTGACCTACTCACAACTCTGGGCTCAACGGTGCTATTCAGGACGACACTCAGGAGGGCAGTCTCACACACACACGTCAATGAGGACAGTCAGCTCCTCTCTTGGAGCCACCAGGGCAGGCTGACAAGAATTGTACAGCCATCAAGATTCCATCCCCCCTCCACTCCCTCCCTCAAACATCCAGCTAGTTCCAACTCCGATAACAACAACACTGAAGAGAGAAGCCCAGGAAAATCCCAGAGTTCACCGTAAAGACTACTACACTAGCTTCTGGTAGGAAGAGAATAGGCCAGTATATCTTGTTCCCTGATAACACTTGATACTTGAAAACGGTCTTGTGAATTGAGTATGATGTCAAAGTAACAGTGTTTCCATAGAAACGGGTAGAGTAAGAGACACACCTAGCCTATAGGGAACTACCTCTAACTGGCCTAAACACCACTTCCCCATCCTGGTCCAGACACCAATCAGCTAGTTATAAAGGGCACTCTCCTCCATTAGTTTCCACTGCATCAGGTACAGAGTAATACTGATCAACATTTCACTATTCTAACTTCCAATACCTGGCTCTACCCTCCGTTTACAGTTCTTGACTGGCATATGAGGGTGGTTGGTCATAGATAGTCTGGTCACCAGATCTGTTTGTGCTTCAGCCAACTCTTCTGTCATGTTTGTTGTCATGGCATACAGTAGAAGAAAGGATGACTGAGGAGTTGGCTAAAGCACAAACAGACCTGGTGACCAGGCTATCTATGTCCGGCTAACCTCATATGCCAGTCATGTACTGTAAACAGAGTTACTTACAAAAGGCTCTGACTGATGTAAAATACTAATTGGGTGAGGTGAAGTGCGATGGCTCATCTCCATGGTTACAGAGACAAGACAATGCAGTGTCCATCCCAAATAGAGTCACTGCTCACCCTTTTCCCTTCCCACTTCAGGGGACACTGCAGCACCCCTTTGGAAAGGATGGGGCATAACTCTATCTGACCATGGTACAGAACTGCTATGATGAGTGTTACAACATGCTCTGCAAGGTGAGGAGTGAAGGATCATGGTTAACAAGACAAGGCGACAGTGTCTCGACCCTCTCTTGGTTTAATAAGAGTCACAGCTTGTCTCTTTTTCTGTCCCTCTTCAGTGGACACTGCAGCACCCCTTAGGGAGGATGGGCCATACATGTACCTGTCTGTTCCCTCTACAGGGAGCCAGAGGGCTGGGTACGTCTTGGCTGTGTTTGGGCCTGTTTAACAAGAAGTAAACAGCAACACACACTAATCTCCCATTCCTGGTGGTAAAGAAATGTTCCGTTTCGAGGGTTTAGAGGGTGACACTCTATAGGAACGATGCAGGGATGTCCTGCATCTCAATTAGGGCCGGGACGATACCAGTATCGCGATTCAAGGGATTGTAACAACACTAGCTTTGTACGTTCTGAGTACTATCAAGCGAGTCCGTGAACTTTAATGAGAGTGGGACTGTGGCTAATGTGTGTCCCTTTGGGTCAGATGGTCAGAGGTTAAATTCCCCCAGTTGGCTTACTACTTGACGTTGCTGCAGAATGACAGTGGTGGTCTTCTACAATGAATGTTGTGCATGATAAACATCTGATGATGAGTTCTAGGATTCATTGTGTTTACAGGCGGTATCCCAGCAGCCTTAGCAGCCAGCTAGTTTATGTATTATATATTTGGCTCCAACAGAATCTCCTGGCGGTCTAACACTATACGTTAAATAAAGGGACTCCGTTGCCATGACAACTCATGAACCCGCTGACACTAGGTACACTACCAACCAACAACACATACAAGAGAGCCAGACAACCTTTCTCTCTGACTGCACTGCTAAGACGTTGTGCAAACTTGTGAAGTAAATGTAGCCTTTATTTAACAAAGACAATATCCCTGGAGGTTGAAACCCCTCTTTTTCAAGGAGACCTGAAAATTAAAGTAAACTAACTCTAAAAACTCTACAGCAGGGGTATTCAACTCTTACCCTACGAGGTCCGGAGCCTGCTGGTTTTCTGTTCTACCTGATAATTAATTGCACGCACCTGGTGTCCCAGGTCTAAATCAGTCCCTGATTAGAGGGGAACCATTTAAAAAAAGCAGTGGAACTAGCTTCGAGGTCCAGAGTTGAGTTTGAGGGCTCTACAGTATGTCAGCCAATATGTCTTGCCAAAGTGCATAACATGGAACTGATTGGATGTAGTATTTGGTACTTTAAGGGATGTCTTGGCCTGCTGTGCAGCGCTGAAACATAGGTGTCTGAGTGCTTTTTGGAAAATGACCCTATAAATCTGAAATGACCCTTGACGCCTTCATTAGTTACAACGTCTGGTTGGCCGTTTCACCTAAACAGCTGGGAGACATTAGCAGCACGTTATCACACGGGGACAGGGAGAGAAGGACCAGTTAACCAGTCAAGGAAAGCAGAGGAATGGATGAGGGTTGTGTGTGTCTCATCTTTACAAACATCTCATCCATTGAGTATGGTTCCAGTTAGTTTCCCAGAATGTTATAAAGCATTATGCATGGCATATGAAGCTTTATGTGATTGTAATGCATTATAAACAGGGTATTCATAGGGAGAGTTATCAATGTTTCTGAGTAGCTGTAGTGGAACAGGTTGAGAGCTTCAAGTTCCTTGGTGTCCACATCACCAACGAACTATCATGGTCCAAACACACCAAGACAGTCGTGAAGAGGGCACGACAAAGCCTATTCCCCCTCGGGAGACTGAAAAGATTTGGCATGGGTCCTCAGATCCTCAATTTTTTTTACAGCTGCACCATCGAGAGCATCCTGACTGGTTGCATCACCGCCTGGTATGGCAACTGCTTGGCCTACGACCGCAAGGCACTACAGAGGGTAGTGCGTACGGCCCAGTACATCACTGGGGCCAAGCTTCCTGCCATCCAGGACCTCTATACCAGGCGGTGTCAGAGGAAGGCCCTCAAAATTGTCAAAGACTCCAGCCACCCTAGTCATAGACTGTTCTCCCTGCTACCGCACGGCAAGCGGTACCGGAGTGCCAAGTCTAGGTCCAAAAGACTTCTCAACAGCTTTTACCCCCAAGCCATAAGACTCCTGAACAGCTAATCATGGCTACCCAGACTATTTGCACTGCCCCCCCACCCCATCCTTTTTACGCTGCTGCTACTCTGTTAATTATTTATGCATAGTCACTTTAACTCTACCCACATGTACATATTACTTCAATTATCTCAACTAGCCGGTGCCCCCGCACATTGACTCTGCACCGGTACCCCCCTGTATATATAGCCTCCCTACTGTTATTTTATTTTACTTCTGCTCTTTTTTTCTCAACACTTTTTTTGTTGTTGTTTTATTTTTACTTTTTTTGTTAAAATAAATGCACTTTTGGTTAAGGGCTGTAAGTAAGCATTTCACTGTAATGTCTGCACCTGTTGTATTCGGCGCATGTGACCAATAAAATTTGATTTGATTTGATTTAGAACAGATGTCCTGTTTTAAAACCATATGTCTGGAAGAGAGGAGTCAGTTGAATAGTAACAGTCAACAGCAATCAGGTTCACTATGTGGGCAATATGTTGTCATGGATGGATCCCTCTAATGATCATTTCCTGGAATTGAGTGGATTACATTACATAGGCTACATACATTTACTGGGTATCCGTCTTTTGAATGGGATGTGCAGTCTTTCGAATGGCATGGTAAACAGATGGCCTGACTCACTGTGGTTATTAAAGATCTCATGACACTGCAAAGACAGAGGAGGACAAAGGCTTTCATCTAATTAAAATACCTTTATTTAGGTGACACTTACTGTAAGAGTAGGGGTGTTAACCCTGGTGTCATGGTTAAATTCCCATCCTGGCCCTCATCATTTTATCATGTGCATCTAATCATCCCCAGATTCCAATTCCAATGGTCTCTCCTATCCTTTGAAACTCTTCAACCAGGTTGTTGCTGTGAAAGAGTGTGTCAACCTAAAATATGGGTTAAGTTATGCAAACTATAACAGCCCAGTTGAGATTTCCTTCATTTCAAGATGAGAATTCCCACAAAAAAATACAAAAAACTTTTCCAGATTT